TACAAACAGTAGAAAAAAGCCCAAATACAGTAGTCCGCGAGTTATTATTTTTCTGTCGTAAAGGTTATAAACCTTTTTTGGACAATAAATGAATTGAAATGCAATATTAAGGTTTATCTTAATTTTATCTATGAATTATCATTTCTTCCAATGCTCCGTACACAATTTGAAATTTCCATATGCACAGAACAGTCAGACGTGTGCTCATGTCCATGCAGATATCATTATACTCATCGGTGATTGCCAGAATTAAATGTTAAGAACTATAGAACCATTTCATTCTTTACCTATGGTAAGATGTATTGTTAGCCTATTGTAAGATGTATTGTTAGCCTATGGTAAGATGTATTGTTAGCCTATGGTAAGATGTATTGTTAGCCTATGGTAAGATGTATTGTTAGCCTACGGTAAGATGTATTGTTAGCCTATGGTAAGATGTATTGTTAGCCTACGGTAAGATGTATTGTCAGCCTATGGTAAGATGTATTGTTAGGCTATGGTAAGATGTATTGTAGGGCTACGGTAAGATATATTGTTAGCCTATGGTAAGATGTATTGTAAGCTAATAATAAGATGTATTGTTAGCCGATGGTAAGATGTATTGTTAGGCTATGGTGAGATGTATTGTTAGCCTATAGTTAGCCTATGATAAGATGTATTGTTAGCCGATGGTAAGGTGTATTGTTGGTTATTAGGTTGCTTAGAACATTATTTCTTGTTTTATTGTGCTACTCTTTTTTCAAATGTACAACTTTTTTTTTTTGTTAAAATTGCACTGCTCTTTTTTATCTCGTTCCCAGGACACACATTAACTCGTTTCCACGAGATACTTAGTCGTTACCTCGAGTATCTCGAACGAGAAAGAAAAGGAGCAGTGCATTTTTAAGTTGTTCATGTCTTTTCTACGTGTTTCGGATATATACATGTATGCATTTTGTGCATGTATATTTGTACTGTATTGTACTTATTCAAAATTAATGTTTAATATTAAAATTCAGTAACTTCAATTGGTGGTCCAAAGCTTTTCGACAGTACCCGAAAGTGCAATGGTGTTTAAGCCGCCAGACTACTACGAACAAAGAGACCCACCAAAGAGTTACACACGCACCTCTGTCTAGGGATTGTTAGCATCAAGGGGTCGAGCCTCGTCATAAAGTTGTACGTCTCTGCGTACGTTCACGCTTCCTTCTCCCAAAATATCCTCGCCATCAGCTCCTTTACTTAGACGGTGTAATGAATCTAAACAAAGAAATCAACGGCAAAATAAATATGTTGTACATGATAATTATAATGCTATAACATAAAACTATTTTTGCAGAGGCATGAAACAACGACTCCAAGATTTCAGATTGGACAGTCCATATTTTAGCTTAAGATCAAAAAAGAATAAACAGAATTATAGATAACGTCAATGATTATGGGGCGTTCATGACAGAGTTGTTAAGGTCGTTGATTTCAAACCGCTCGTCCCTTGTGGGTTCGTTTCCAGACAGTGGCTTTGGATTATTTCATGTGAGGAAGCTATCCAGCTAACTTACGGTGGTTCTACGTACTCAGGTGCCCGTTCGTGCCTGAAATAATGCACGGAAAGGCACCCGAGGTCTTCCTCCCTGATGTCTCCTCTACTAGTGAAGCTAGAAAATCTCCATATGACCTACACTGTGTTGGTGTGACGTAAATCCCAACAGAACAAAAACTATAAAAAAAAAACAATAAAAAAAAAAACAACAAACAACGACGGTGTTTTATTATTATTTCAATGTAAACAGTTCTTATTTTGGGTATATGCCATACATTAAATATACATTATAGTAGATTTATTGAGCTCTTTGGATAAATTCAGTAGTGAACATACACTCATTTAATATATTCCCTATATTACATGGCGACTCATGTTAGATATTTTATTCAAGTTCATTAATAAATTTCAGTATTGAACCTGCAGTCACTCAATGTCTTCCATATATCATTATATTCATGTATGAACTAGTAGTTATAGTTAAAACATGGATAATGGCGTGCAATCATAAAATGAATATCACCTTAAACGGCAGTCTATTTTAAACAAAAAATTTGCATTAAGCTGGCTAATTTGCAAGGGAGACGATTTTACTACGACAACAAAGATAAAAACAATACACGAGTTAACTTTCTTTGTTTTGTATTCATTAAGTCAAGTATTCCTGACACATTGCCTAATATATTTGACTGAATTGATAGGGGTAGTTGCAGACTTGCCTAAAAACCACTAAAATTTACGTATTCTATTGGTAAAATTCAAATTATTTTTCATTATCATCACTACTGTTAATAATGTATTCATTGTTTGTTTGTTTGTTTGTTTCATTTTACGCCTTTTCCCAACAGTATTTCAGTCATATAGGCGGGTAGTTTCTTAACCATCATTCCTGGATAGTTACACCAGTACTAGACTACCTTCCTCCGTGTTAAACTACCAAAGCATCTACCGGGGATCGAACCCACGCCAGAGAGGTACACTAGTCTGTAGTATAGGACAACCTGTACAAAGCGATACTCTTTGGAAGACAAACATTCCGATTGTTGCTGACAGGTGTTACTATAGAGATGTTAAATTTAATGTGAAGTCTTATTTTGAGATGGACTGATACTGTTGTTGTTATGAGGTAATTGCTTTATAGAGGGTCGCTGTGTTGAGGTCGCAAGCAGCAGCTATTATAATAGTACGGTAGCGGTTGCGGTGGCTGTGGCAGTAAAGAGATTTTCGCTGATTCATTCAAATATCATGAAGCCTCGCCAACTGGTATGTACTTAAATGACTAAAAGGCGATTCTTTGATAATGAAATGTTTGTTACAAACACCGTGGTACATCTAACAATATCACCTTAGACATACTTTAATGTCAGTATCATATACTAGTATACATAGCTTATATGCATTGACAAAATAAAAACGTTGTATTCAGAGGTGGTTTCAGGATTTCAGGTTGGGTGGAAGAGGAGGGTGTGGTATAATATTTAGAAAAAGAAAATGGAGCGAAATGGTTCATTTATCGCATTGCCAATTTTGTGTCCGTTTTAAACCACATTTAATCGGTCACAGTAACACTATGAAAAATTTATTAACCGTAAAATGACACTGATTCCATAATCTTATGGTCGATTCTCGGAAGAGTTTGTAACATAGAATGATCTACTATTGTTATTAAATACACATAAATAGTGTTCGTAAACAGAACAAGCTTTAAGTATGGACAGCTTTCCAGGAACGATGCCGTGACTGAACTATGCTCTGGTGAATTCAAAGTGGCTTACTACCATGATCCCGAGGTCAAAGTACCGACACCATTAACGCCAAACAAAGCTTTTGGATAAAGCCCAAAGGCTAAGATAACTTACATGTCAAATGTAACTGCGTGCGTGTGTGCTTATGTGGTTTTTTACAAATTTGAAATAACAGTTTTTATTAAAAAGATACCTTGTAAAAGCAGCATGTCTCCAGATTTATTAAAAATTGTACATGTATTAAAAAGTAAATCAATGTCAAGTGAACAAAAAAAAAATAATTTAATGCAGTGCATATTACTAAATTACAAGTGAGTAACTTTCAATCGAACACCGATTCAAATGGAAAGCGGAACCCCCCCTCCCCCCCCCGCGGACAATTGCCCTCCCCGACCCACGGACATTTGTTGACTTTTTACTTATTTGTTTTACCCCGATTTATTGGAAGCTGTAAGCTTATTGAAACACTCTCGAATCCGTTCGTGGAACCACCCAGTACTAAACAATGAGTGAATTGTTTCTTGCCCTGGGAGTTTGGCCTTGTCAATGCAGACATTTGCTCCATGGTCTATTTTGATATAATTTTGGAACGACACGCCTTTGCACTAGGCAACCAAGCAAGTTTGGGTCAGTATACAGCGATATCCGTCCCATTGATTTACTTGTGACCAACTGCAGAAACTAACAGTTATTAGTGATAAAGTTGCGTATCTTAGAAAATGAAGCTGACGGTCCAATCTTCAGCCTCATAATTATCATAGTTCGATATAAGTATTATATACATATATATTGTGTGGGTACCAGTCCATCTCTTTGTTTATCAAGGCAGAAATCTTTCAGGAATACATTTAGCTTGACTTGTCCCTTTATTGTCCGTTTTGTTTTACGGTATGTAATCTACTTTAGCCCCATGAAAATACTGTAATACTGAGCATGTTTATGGAGTCACGTTAATTTTGGACATAGCCTATATTTCATTTATATATATTAGGTGTACAATTGTAAAAAAAAAATCGTTAAAAAGCATTGATTTGCGTCTGTAATTGAAAAACAGTAGATTACAAATGTATTTTATTAATTTGAATGACGCCACAAATCGATGTGTGTTACTATGCACTTCAGTATTAGATTGATCCTTAAAAGATATTAAACACATTAAACTGCACTTGTATGAAAATAATTCTTAGACATAAGGCTACTCTTTCATTTTAATTTAAAATTTTAAACAACGTTTACTTAATGCCTCAGAAAAATATTCATCAAACTGAAAAAAATGAGTTATGTGGAAAGAATCACACTAGATCTATCAACAAAAAATCCCGACAAATTCATAGCTATTGTAAAATTAAATTTAAGACTGTTAGGATTTGCAAACTATTTTTGAGCTTTGAGCAGCTTTCAAGGTCTTTCTCAATATTTAAAAAATCATTCACTTAAAATCGAAATGTATTGTTGTCTGATAAACAATAGGAAATCTTAAGGCACTGAACTTTTCAAACGCACTATACATCATTTACGCATTGTTGACATTTTTATTACTAGTAATCAATATATGAATGGGAATTGTCAATGCAAGGTACAGGGCAGTAATACACATCAATTACAATATATTGCGGAAGAATGGGAATTCCAATGGCCCGCAACGCGCATAAATTTGATTGACAGCACTTTTGCGCATGCGTATTAAATTTACTCCGATTAATTGACGCATGCGCACACACCCCTAAGTAATCAGATGTTCCCAATGGCGGCTGCTAAGCGGATGCGAGTTTCGCTAGGCGAAAATTCAAAGGACCAAAATGGATCTTATTCTAAAGGAAATTCTTCTAAAAGTGGAAAAACACATAATACAGAGTCTCTTCTTGACATATGTGCTAAAATTGTTGGTGAAAATATACCATTTCAAAAAATTGAGCAGCGTTTCGATCGGATACCCGAACCTGTTCAAAGTCGGATAGTTTTTTGGTCATTTCCTCGTAATGAACGAGATATATGCATGTATTCCTCCTTTTCACAAGTTGGAAAAGAAAATGCAGACAGTGACAAACTTCCATTCAATCAAGGAATTAAATTGCTGGAGTCTGGAGCTGTTGAAAAAGTTCTGCAAATAGGTGAGGCAAAAGTGGATTTAGCTCGTCACGCTTCGTTTGGCAAAAGATCAAAAGAAATGTGCCGAATATTATTATCATGGTATTTTATGAAGTGATCGAAAGTATCTGTATGCTCAGACGGGTCAATATGATAAGAATATTTTATAAAGTAGTTATTTAAGTATAATATAATTATGTGTTACTTAAAAATAATGAAGTGAATAGACTCACAGTCTCTTGGTTTCAATTGAAAGAGAGAATTTTAAACTGTTAACAAAGTTCCCATTCATTGTTTAACAATTTTTTTAGTCCTTGGTTCAAAATATTCGATACATTTCAGTTTTTGAACAGAAAAGTTAATGCATCAAAAGTTGTTTGTCAAACAAAGTTTATGTAAAAATTAATTGTTAAAGATCACAATTATTTAATTCAATGTAAAATAATAATAGAAAGTATTAAAATGTTATAGATATGAAATTAGTTCACCACATAATATGTGTTCAAGTTAACTGTTTTAAAACTCAGTTAACTGTTTTATCAAGTTTGAAATGCAGTGAGCTTTGAAATGCAATATTTAGGCATTATGTAATCTACACAGATAAAAGGCCATTATGTTTGTTAACAATGAAAGAAATTAATACATTATTACAATTTTGTTATAAATTTGAAACAGTCATGAAAGCACTGGCCCAGAACAGTAGTGACTAATTTACGTCTCTTTACATATTTCCTGGTTTATAATGGTAGTACTAATAAACTTTGTTTGAGAAATGTTAAATGACGTCAAATATATGAGAGAATGTCAGTCATTTGTCAAGCTCTAGCTGTAAACTTTCTTTTGTATTTTAACAAGACACTTTGGTATAATTTTGTTTCGAATCAAAATTTATTTATTGTAGGTATGAAATATAAACATATCACAAAACATAAGCTGTAGAGCTTTGTTCACCAATATTATTCATCATTCATTTGCATTCAGTAGAATTTTTAGCATAGTCTGTTCTAATTTTCTGAATGTGGGTCAACTTGCCCCCCTCCCCCTATCCCCAGTCATCCTAGCCCTTTATAACAACTTGGCACTGGTCAACTCTGCCTATAAATATAATTACTCTTAAAATATATTTTCATATAACTGTCATTGTTAAACATGTTCAAGTTTTGAAGTTTTATTGAGCTTATTTCAGATATTATTATTCTGTTCAAACATCATTGGATGTTATAAGAACAAACATTGTTAAATATAATTACATCTAATGATTTATAGCCATAAAATTCAATCTAAAATCTTTATTTATGGATCAATCATGAAACATCTTGTCTTGATATGTGGATAATATATGTCTTCTTAAAATGAGACTTTTAAACAATATGCTAACATTTTTCAATTTGTATTGATCGTAGCTCCGAATAATTTTGTATTTCTCTAATTATAGTTATTTACTCATTATTAAAAAAGTTTATTAACTAAGGAATCTACTCTTTACCAATTTGCTACCACCATTGTTTCAGTCACTGGAGTGATTTTGTAATTGGAAGGTTATTTCTCTTGTGACAGTGAAGTTTTTTGTTTGACATACATACACAACGTAAATGAATTTTGATAAAAGTTTAATATCTTCTTTTAGTTCTTTGTTTCAATTATGCTGTTTGTTTAAGAAAGTGCAAGATTACCTTTTCTAAGTTCAACACAAAAGGAGAGTTTAAGTGTCTTTTATGCCATTTCCTCCCCTTTGGTGTCCTATAAAATGTCTTTCATGCTATTTCCTCCCCTTTGGAGTCCTAAGGATTGGTAGTTATACAGATTTTATCATTGAAGTGTCTTAAGCCCTTGTGTGCTGTACAGATAAAGTAGCTTTGTGTCAATGGTTGCCTGTGGGATCTTTCATTTAAGATACATTCAGCCTGTACATGCATCCTCTTTGCTAAAGACAAACATCCTGAATATAGAGCTGCTATACAAACAGATTAATTAAAGCACCCTGTCAATGTAAAATACCATTTTTTTTGTGTGAAAGAATTATTGAATTTGAAAAAAGAAAAATGTAGTTGATTCAGATTATAAATGTAGCCTTAAAGTCTTAAACAGGTTGAAAGACTGCAAATAACAGATGAAATTTTTCAGGACTGATGATAACAATACAGAAGTAACACTTAGTCTACTGATTTCATAAATAAATTACGACAACAGCATTTTTCTGATCTGGTTATATTGATAGCTTTTCACTGTCAATTTGAAGTACAGTACAGTTCATTTTTGTTGTTTGTTTTTGATAAATTACATGTACATGTATTGTAGCACTCTGTAAACTTGTAAAGAGATCAAAAAATTTCTGCGTTTCAAAATAGCCAATAAATTGTTCTTTACTTGGTTTGGAAATCTGCTAATTTGAGAAAGAATAGGACTGGTGCAAATAAGATATTTATTTACAGTGTTATGGCAATATGTGACTTTATGCTCATATTTTTATTAACACGTAAATCAAGAGTGACATCAGGATGGTTTGTAGGATCTACCGGTTTCCATCTTTCAAGACCTACATCAGAATGAATATTTTTATTGTCAAGTTGAACTGAATTAATGATTATATCAATATTCCCATAGATTGACTCTTATAATGTTGATTAATGATGATACTCAGATAGTAGAAAATGTTAAGGATAAAATATGTAAATCTTCCAAAAATATAAAAAGACTTCCCCATTCTTTTTTTTTAAATTGACCGTTACAGGTAATTTCCAATGGGTATTAACAAAAATTTCCCTTGGCCACATGAATTATTAATCGTTCATGTGAAGTAGATTATAAAATTGAAAATAGTAATGGCAAAACGTAAACTAATTTTGACATTCACCTATTCACTTACTATATACCATTGGATGGGCATATAAATGCCACTTTACACATCTAAAGGTAATATTCAGGTAACAAGTTACGATTCTTGGAAGGTCAGTAAAGTGGGATCCTCACTGTGTCTAAGTCCCAACTCGAATTTAATATTTTGGCACTAATTATTGTAAATTGTGACTAAATCAGACTAAAGGACTTATATAGTTTAGATGAGGGAAAATCTGTTTTAGCTACAAATTCATTATTATTATTATTTAAGTGATGAAAAATGAAATATGAGGTATGATATGAACGTTTTTAGAAGTTTTTGCTCTAAATTTTGATGAACCTACCTTTTAACAGTTCTACAAGTTATGCCAACCACTGAACCTGTATATCAATTATGGCACTTCATGATTTTAATCAAGTTAATTTAATTAAGTTCATTTGAAATTGTATATAATATTATTTATTAGTGCAAATTTTATAGTGTATATTTATATGATTTATCATATGTATTTCTGCTTTTTACAATGATTCTATGGATCATCATCTAAAAAATATGATCTCTTGTGCATTTTATTAGTCTGTTTATTGGCGTTCGATACATGTAATGTGGTAAATTTATGTACTTTAACTCAAGGCAATAGAAGCTGCAGTGTTGCAGGCAGAAAATTGCTGGTATACAGCCATTGATAGATCAATTATTTGCCAGAGTACAAAATAATTTGCCAGAAATATTTGATAGCCTTTGTCTAGCCAGTGGAGCTTTAGATCACTTGGCAGAGAATGGCTTTTATTGTAAAACTTACCAATTTTGTAAGGGAATTGTATTCACAGAGGTGAATCATGAAAGAAATCAGTTTATAATTATTGAAATAAATGCTTATCAATTAAATAGTATGAAGAAAAAAAATTTTTTTAGTAACATAGAAATTTCTGATGAGATAATTTTTTGAAAATGTAAGCCTAATTTCTGGATGAGATTGAGAATGATTCTGTTGTTTGAATACCTGACTGAATTGAAATTTTGAATGCCATTGTAATTTTTCCTCCTAACGGGTTATGTTCACACTTCTTGTATATTTATTAATAATTTTACGTCAATTTCAATTTGAACAAGTACATGTAGGTTGGACTTTTAAGTTCGATTTTATTATCTTAATTTTGTGATGATTGATTAATCTATAAATACATTGATCAGCATTAATTGTATGCACTCGTGGAAGTTCAACTAACTCCCCTCTGCATTTCTTTGCCACTTGTCTGACCCATTGACCCTGTCCTTATCACATGCATTTTGCTCAAGAAGGCTGGCTGACTTTTATTGGCCTGAGGGTGATTATTACAGAGTGCAGATATTATGGCCTGTGTAAGTGTAATAAGGGTAATTGTATCATAGTTTGGAGACCTTTCTGTTGAAAATGTGTCAGGGTTAAATCGTTTACATATACATGCACAGTGCGTTAACTGGAGTGCGGGTATTAGTTACCCGCACTCCAGAGCATGCCCATTGATTGGCTCATTTTTGCTGGGGTTTACATATTGTGACGGCAGTGAAAGTGAAATCGACAGAAATGTCATATTTAGATGCTCGTTCATTGGTTCATTTTTGCCGGGGTTTCATATTGTAACAACAGGGAACGTGTTTTTATGTTTGACTATGATACAAAAGAGAAAGAACACCAAAACACTCGGTAATCTGATTAATACTCGGGGGGCTACGCCCCCTCGTACAAATCAGATAACCTCGTGTTTCGGTGCTCTTTCTATTACTTAACTATGCAAAAGGTCAATAAGTGCATTTGCTAATTATAGATCTTGTGTAATTGAATATTAATTTGGTTCACTGTGTAATGATGGACATGTCTGGCTTTGGTTTTAGAACTGTTCATTGTTTATAATGGGAAGTCAAGTTCCAAACTTTGGAAGTCAGAGACTGCAAAGTATCTGACATTGGACTAGGTAAAGAAGGAAAAGCATTGTATTTTGGAAGTCACAAGACATTAAACAAGGAGTAAATGACTCCCAAACTGGTAACAGTATTGAATTTGGTCATCCTGATGGCCGTCTCTACGTTCATGAAGCATGATTATATTATTCCATTAATTATTGCCATGAGTATTATGTGCAGGTGCAAATGTTTTGTTGGGTTATAAATGTAAAATGTTTGTCTTGTAGTCCTTGAGCTGGT